TTTATTGACTTTTTCCCCAGTGTTCTATGTGTCTATAAATAAAATGGGCATAAATAAATAAACAATAAACAAAAATAAACAAACCCAGCCTCTTGTTACCTGTGTGACTTTGAGCAAGTAATTTCCCCTTCCTAGGACACCTGCCTGTGTCCTTATCCATAAAATGAGGGTGCTAGATGACATAGCCGCTGAGGTCCCCTCCGCCTAACTCGTGCCTCTCTGATCTGATGATTTGTGCTGCTTCCTAAATGCCATAGCCGAGGACAAAAGATGGCTATCTCTTCATAATGAAACATTTTCAGCGAGTGACTCTAAGTGTGAATTGTCGGAGCTGAAATGGACCCCAGGGATCATCTGGTTGAATCATTTCCATTTCCAGATGAGGAAACAAGACCAGAGCAATTAAGTAAATGGTTTGAGGTCACAGAGGGACAACACTAATCCCCAGGGCCTCTGACTTCCAGCACCGTGTTCTTGCCTCAGTCCCAAACTGCTCCCTATTTGGGCTCCAAAATGGCCCAGGAGGAGAGTTGTGCATAGGTGGCCGAGCCCAGTGGCTTCAAGTCATGGCACCTCTGGGGGCCTCAGTTTCCTTACCTGTAAAATGAGAGCTTTGCACTGGATGGCTTTGGAGGCCCCTTCTAACTCTGGCACTGGTAACCTATAATCCTTTGTTTGTCTGGTTTTTAAATGTGCAAATCTGAATGTGAACATGGTTTGTGATCAACTCAGATGAGGCGCCAGGGGAGGGGATTGCTCCCAGCTGCCACCCCTGGCCCAAATTTGGGGGAGGAACCTCTTCCTCTCTGCCCAAAGAGCTTGATTAGATTCAAACAAAAGAAGCTGAGAATGGAGATGTTAGAATGGAGAGAATTGTACAGGGAAACATGGCAATAGAAACACTCAGGAAATGTATTTCCTCAAAAGCCAGAGGGGCACTGAATGCGATCCTTCTTTATTTACTTCCTTCGTCCTCTCTTAGGTTTCAGTTTCCTCCTGTGGAAAAGGAGTGGGTTAAACTAGATCAGTTCTAAAGTCCCTTCCAGCTCTGACCTCTGACCTGTGATCCTTCCTCTCTCCCTGGGCATTTTTCTGATCTGTACAATGAGAGGATGAGATGAGGCAGCCTCCAAGGTTCCTTTCAGTTCTGAAGCTGGTATCCTATGAGCTTTCCTTTCCTTCCTTCTCCCTCCTTAGTTCCCTTTCTTCTTTCCTCCCTTCCCTTCTTCCTTCATCTTTTGTTTTCTTGCTCCCCCTCTTCCTTTTTCCCTCTCTTCCCTCCTTATTCTCTTCCTTTTTCCTCTCTTTTCTTTCCCTTCTTCTTTGTTCCTTTTTATTTTCATATTTTATCTTTGTCTTTTTATTCCCAGCATCTAGTGTAGTGCCTGGAACAAAACAAAGTATGGACTTTGTAAATACTTATATATCTTCTCTTGCTCTCTCTCTCCCCCCCCACCTCTCCCTCTCTTTCTCTCCCTCCCTCCCTTCCTTTCTACTTCCCTTCCTCCTCTTTCTTTCTTTCCTTCATCCTTTATTCCCTTTATTTCTCTTGTCTTTCCTTCTTTCCTTCATTCTCTTGCATCATCTTTTCCTTCTATTCTTCATTTTTCCCTGCTTCCTTTTCTTCCTTCTTTCTTATCTCCCTTTTCTCTTTCCTCCCTCCCCCTTCCTTCCTCTTCCCTTTCCTTTCTTGCATCATCTTTTCTTTCAATTCTTCCTTCCTTCTTCTTTCTTGTTTTTTCTTCCTGCCCTCTTTTTTTTCTTTCTTTCATCATCTTTTCTTCCCATTCTTCCCTCTCCCCTTTTGTCCATCCTTACTCAGTCTCTTCCTCCTTTCTAATAGGTAATCACTGCCATCCTCCTCTTTGAAGGATGAACACATAGATAAATAAGACACAGGCCCTGCCCTCAAACTTCATACAATTATCAACCTCCAGGAGGGCCCAGTCTAGCAGAAAGAATCAGCCATGCCCAGAAATCCCCACAATCCAAAGCAGCCCATGCCGAGTGCCCCATGCCATCAGCATTCATTAAAGCTTCAGGCAAAATTCTGTGGGGAGGCAGAGGAAGGAGACCATGTGTCCACTTGAGGGCATCCAGAGAGCCAAGAAAGGCTTTGTGAAGGACGTGTCATGGGAGCTGGGCCTTCTTTGAAGGATGGATAAAATCTCCAGACAAGTAGAAATGTGTGGGAGTGCTTTTCATGGCCAAGTGCAGAGGCGGCAGCAGAGGCCAGGGTGTGTTCAGCATTGAGCAAACCAGTTTGACTCAGAGAGCAGACAAAAGTTGATTTGACCTGAAAAATAATAAAGGCAGAACACAAACATTTTGACCTCCTTTTCCCCGTGCCTACAGATGATGTTAGACCAACCTTGAGCATCTAGCAGAAGGCCACCCATCCTTAAGAAGCAGATCACTAGGAGGCCCTGGCCTTCAGGCCTTCCAATGGAGATCTGTGCTTTGTTTCTCCTACAAGTATGAAGGTTAATTAGTCTATATGACTGGTATGGCTGCTGATAAAAAACTTCTTTGTATCTGCCCCTGAAAAGATAGTACTTACAGATATTCTGGGAGAGACCTCAGAGTCTATGTACCATATATACTATCTATCTATATGCATATATATATATATATATATAAAGTATACACAGACGCACACACACTATGAATAGATAGATATAGTCGAGCCTTCATTTTATAGATGAGGAAACTGAGGCACAGTATGGCACAATCATTACCCAAGGTCACACAGTCACAGTATCATAGATTTAGAGCTGGAAGCTCAGAGTCTATAATACATACAAACATACATACACATTTTATGGATAAGGAAACTGAGGCCCAGGATGGTTTGGTGCTTGCCCAAGGTCACACAGGTGATAAGTAGTAGATTTAGAGCTGGAAGGGACTTCAGAGGACACCTAGTACAACCTCCACCATTTCACGGAGGAATCTGAGCCCCAGAGAGGTTAAAGACTTCCCCAAAGTCACGCTGATAAATGAGTGGCAGACAGGATTTGAACCCAGGGCCTCTGACTCCAAGACCCTGTAAAACCCAAAGGGATTTTGGAACATTCAAGGAATATACTAATACCAAGTCTTCTACCATCTCCTGTCTCCATGCTTTGGCACAGGCTGTGCCCAATGGCTGAAACACCTCCCTCTCCACCTCTACCACATGGAAACCCTGGCTTCCTTCAAAATCCAGCTTAGGTGCCACCTCCCAAGCTTTCTCAGTTGTTAGATCAAACTTTAAAGCACAGTGCCTGGAACATTGGAGGTGCTTGATAAATGCTTGTTAATTAATTTACTATGGATTTATACATGCAGTTATCTTCAATAGAATGTAAGCTCCCTGAGGACGAGGGCTATTTCCTTTTCATCTTTGTATTCCTCATTGCTTGGCACACAGAAGGTGCTTAATAAATGCATATTGATTGATATATACATGCAGTCATCTCCAATAGAATGTAAGCTGTCTGAGGGCAGAGACGGTCTCATTTTGGTCTTCTGTGTCCCCAGCACCTAGGACAGTGCCTGGTGCATAGGAGCCCTCAAGAAAGGCATTGGATATTAGCTGCCTTGTGGAAAGGGAGCTTGGCATCACCAACCTGCAGAATCCCTTGCTTTTTTTGCTTTAAGTTTTGGTACCCAGCACGGCAAGAATCTGAATCGATTTCCAGCTTTGTCAGAATTAAAGGAAAACCCGTCGTGACAGCCTCCTTTTCCCTCTTCTAGTGAGACTGTTTACCATTGCCAGTCTCAGTCAAGTTCTAAGGTGGGAGGGATGAGGAGTAGAATCAAGGGCCATTGTTCCTTCCCAGAATTAGGTATCTGCCAGAACACAATCACCTTTTTGTTCTCAGGAACCTCCTTTCCCAAGCAACAGGCAGGACAGAAATCTCCCAGTGTGGCTTCAGCAAGCAGCATCCTTCCTATGGAGCTTTCCCAAGCCCACATCCTGACTGTGGCTTTGGTGTGAGCAGGTTCTCAAATGAGGCTGTCTTTCAAGTGAGACTTCAAACCAGAGCCCTGCTCGCCTGCTCTTTTGAGGGTCAAAGGTCACCTAATGCCCTCAGCGAATGAGTGACCTGTGCTGTTCATTGTCGGGTCTGTAAAAACATTCCCAGGCTTTGGGAGAGGTAGCTTGGATCCAGATCTATTGAGAAATCGGCAGAGTAAACAAAGATGAGATCGCTCTCATTTCTCGGTTCAGAAACTCCCTTGGCCAGCTTAGCCCGAGGGACTCACACCCAAGCACGGAGAAGCCACATCCAGCTTTCCTTTTTAAGTGTCTGGTAGCACCGTAACCATTTACTGCTCCCAAACATGTAATGGGTAGCTAAGGAAAACCAGCTGGATTTTCACTGGGCCATCGTTATGCCCGTGGTCTCCTCCAGAAAGACTAGCTGGCTTAGATCATGGAGTCACAGATCTAGAAGTGTGGGGAAGGGACTAAACTTAGGGCCCGTCTGGTCCAGCTTCTTCATTTAAAAAATAAGGGCAGCAGAGAGCCCCTGCTCTTACGAGTATATCAAGATCATAGCTAAAGGGCACCTCAGAGACTACCCAGTTCAGGGTTTGCATTTTACAGATGAGGAAACCGAGGCCCAGGGAGATTAAATGTTTGATCATAGAAGCTTAAGATCAAGGATTTAGAAATAGAAGAGGCCTTAGATGTCATCTGACACAGACTCTTTCTATAAGGAAGGAAATGAAGACCCAAAGAGGTCGTAAGTGACTTACCAAAGATCTCACAGGTAATATGCAGCCAAGCTGAGATTTGAACCTGGTACCTCTGTCCACAAATCCAGCCCTCTTTCCAATTTACCATTCTGTCTTCTGGTCCAGATCCTGCCCCTGCCAGGGCCTGCCTGTGTGATCTTGGGCAAGTAGCTGCATCTCTCTGTGTCCCTCTGTGGAGAGGGGGAAGAATACTGAAGGCTGGGGCCAGAGTCCTCCTTTTGGGCTGGGTCTCAGGATGTGTATCTTTCTTTCAGCTTAACCTCCTCCATACAGAGCTAACGAAGCAACTGGCAGACACGATGGTGCTTCCCATCATACAGTTTCGAGAGAAAGATCTCACAGGTAACATGTTGGCACCCATCAGGCCACCTTCTACTGTGTACTTATGTCACTTATTGTTTTCTTCTCTCTCTCTTTCTCTCTTTCTCTCTCTCTCTCTCTCTCTCTCCTCCCTCTTTCTCTCCACTTGCATATATACATATATCATTATAGTATTAATATAATTAGTATATTAATATATACATATATTCTTATGTATGTATATACATATATAATTTATCACTATATTCTGTTATTGTTTATTATTTATTTGAAAACAATATTTATTAGTATCTTTTATTTTCACACAACCTTCATTTCCTAATACATCCCTCCCTGCCTCCCTATCCCTAGAAAGCCATCCCTTAGAAAACAAAGTAAGGGGGCAGCTAGGTGGTGCAGTGGATAAAGCACCAGCCCTTGGGTCAGGAGGATCTGAGTTCAAATCTGACCTCAGACCACACGCTTGACACTTACTAGCTGTGTGACCCTGGGCAAGTCACTTAACCCCAATTGCCTTAAAAAAAAAATAAAATAAAAGTGAAAGATGGGGTGGGGGAGGGGAAGGGAAGCAATTCAGGAAAACTAACCACCAAGTCTGACAACTATGCTATATTCTACACCAATAAACAATGTATGTTGTATTCTATGTCACTTTTACATCAATTTTTTTTCAAATTTGGGCATTATAATTGTGTATTTAAAAAAAAAAACACCTCCCCTCAATGTAGGGGTAGAGTGCTGGATTTAGAGCCAGGTTAGAATCTTACCTCAGACCGTTGCTAACTGTAAGACTGAATCAGCCAATTCCCTTTGCTAGGCCTCAGGTTTTATTTGTTTATTTAGCCATGTGCCACTCTCCATCACCCTATTTGGGGTTTTCTTGGGAAAGATACTAGAGTGGTTTGCCATTTTCTTCTCCAGTTCATTTTATATATGAGGAAACTGAGGCAAACAGAGTTAAGTGACTTGCCCAGGGTCACACAGCTGGTAAGTGTCTGAGGTCAGATTTGAACTCATAAAGATAAATCTTCCTGATTCCAAGCTCAGTGCTCTATCCACTGTGCCACCTAGCTACCCCCGGCCTCAGTTTCCTTATCTGTAAAATCAGGGGCTTAGATTCAATGACTCCTAGGATCTTTCCCTGCTTTGGAGCTGTACTCCTGTGAGAATGTCCTTTTTCCCTTAACATTCTTCTAATCTGTATTGACACATCAGATCTGGCATAAAGTTTTAGGGGGGAAATAAATTTGTTATTCTTTAGAAATTAAAAGAAATACATTTGAAAACCAATACAGAATAAGCACTTTAGTTAAAATGGTGGTTGACTTAATTATGTGGTAGAGATAGTGATTAAAAAGCCAGCCTTAGAGGCCAGAAGACCAAGGGTCAAGCCCCATTTCGGGCATTCCCTGATGTCCTGGCTGAGTGACCCTGGACAAATCTTCCTAACCTTTCAGGACTCTGGGAAACTCCTGAGACTGTAACATACAGACCAATGGACTATTCTGTATTGGTAGAGGGCATTTCTATGTGAAAAGGCAAGTCTGCACTAAAGGCAAAAGTTAAACTATAGATCCCTGTGTACATATATCAATGAGCATTTATTAAGGACTAACCTTATACCAGATGTTGTGCTGGGTGTTGAGGATATGAATGCAATGAATTAAACAATTCCCATTCATGAAAAACTTACATTCTAATGGGGAAGATAACAATTACACACACACACATATATACACATATATATGTATATGTGTGTATACACATATAGACACACAGACATTCTGTATTATATATAAAAATAAATTATATATGATAAATTGTATATTGTATATTATCATATAATATATGCTTTATATATGTATAATACATTATATAATTATATAACACATGCATATTGTGCAATGCATTATATATAATACATTAGTTTATTCTGTATTATATTAATATATTTAATGTATTACATGTACATATTCTATAATATATATTATACACATATAATATGATTCTATAATATATGCATATCATATAATATAGTATATATTATTGGTAATATATTACATATTATATTATAGTAAGATATTATATTCTATATTATATACAGAATAAATATAAAGAGGATTAAAGTATAAGGCAATGTGAGAAGGGAGATCACTAGCAGTTGAGGGGATTAGAAAATTCTTCAGGTGAAAGGTGGTGTTTGAGCTGCACCTTGGTGGTACAGGGGAATCCTCGGAGCAGGAAGGGAGGAGAGAGGGCATTCCTGGCCCAGGGGATGGCTCCTGCAAAGGAACAGAGATGGAAGACGGAGAGCCATCTGGGTGGACCAAAGAGAAGGCCAACTTGGCTGCAGCGCAAGAGAGGAAAATAATGAGGCTGGGACGGAAGGCTTGGGCAAAGGCATGGAGACCTTTCAAAGCTAAACAGAGGAGCTTAGATTTATTTTGTCCTAGAGGCCATGGGGAGTTCAACTTAGCAACAGAAGCATCTGTTCAACAGGAAGGAACTTTTATGGCCTGTTTCTGGGATAGAAAGAGGACAGAAAAGTTTATGATTCCAGAGTTGTGAGCTCCCCTGAGCACATAATTTTTGCTCACCAGATTTCTGTAAGGGTGTGCCTATTGTCCCCCACAAATATTAAATGCATTGGCAGGACAGTGTGACCCAGGTTTATAAGAGATTGTGATATACTTATTATTCACCTGTTTACTTTAGTATTTGAGTACCCAAGATGTAATTTTTTTTTTTTTGCTGAATTGCTAAATAAATAGTTTTGGTTAAGATCTAAATGTTTCATCAACACAAGTGCCTGATTTTCTACAAACGAAGCACATGAGTAGGGGCTTGAAAACTAAAGCGGTAAGTAAAGGGAGCATATTCCTCCTCAAAAAGATCACCACTAGGGATCCAAGAGAGTTTGAGTGTAAGCGCACAGGGGTGGTCTTTCTCTGAGAACCTGGACCTGCCAGGGTGAAGACAAGCTAGAGTGAGTAAGTAGGTGTCCACATGTTCTGTGTGAGAGGTCTAAGGGGCTACAGGGAGGGTGGCCATCTCATGCAAATATTACATTGGCATAGATTTGTTTAGAGACTTAAAACTTCAGGGATTCCTGATTTTGTCAGGTGGCTTGCTCCCTTCATCAACACAGATAGCAGTGCAATGTCATAGACAGCCATGGGGAGTTGCTTGTGGACAGAGAAATTCATTGCCATGTGGCCAACATGATAATGAGCCTTTTGAACTGAGCTGGTCCCCAGGTAATAGATATCTAAAGGGAGAAGTAGGCAGGTAGGCAAAGTGGGAGAAGAGAGAGAGGAAGAAGAGACAGAGACAGAGAGAAAAAAGGAGAGGGAGGGGGAGGAGGCAGAGAGGGAGAGAAGGAGGGAGAGGGAGGGAGAAAGAGAGGAGAGAGAAAGAAAGAGGAAGAGGAGGAGGAAGACTGAGGCGGGGGAGGGAGGGAGAGAGGGAGGGAGAGGGAAAGGGAAAGGGAGAGAGAGAGAAGATGAATGGGTGGAGGTGAGGACAGACTGCAGCAGCAGGAGACCAAATCCATGGCTCCGTGAAAGCCTCCTTAGGAATACCAACCCCCAATGGTTGTCTTAGATTGCCTGTCACTAAGCTTACACTAAAAGCTTAGATTCTAGGCTTTTACACAACACTTTTTAACAATTTTTATTTCTATCTTTTATTTTTGCATCACCTTCTTTTGAAAATATATCCTTCCCCCTCTCCTCCCTAGGGAACCATGCCTTGTAATAAAGAGTAAAAAAAGAAAGCAGATCAACGCTTTAATCGAGTAAGCCATGCTTTTTTAAAAAAATGAATATTCTCTTTTGCCTTTACATCAACTTCATTTCCCAATGTATTCCTCTGTCTCCCTCACCCAGAGAGTCATCCCTTATTACAAAGAATTCTTTTTAAAAGATCAGCAAAATCAACCTATACACCAACTAAACCCAACAACATATGCAGCATTCTGTACCCCTAGACGCCCACCTCTGCAGAGAAGGGAGGGAAATGTCAGCCACGCTTTTCAAAGGACTCGTCAGTCTGGCCCACACACCCAGGGAGAGGGAGATTCCTCCTTTCGTGGGTCTCCAAACACCCAAGGATGCCAAATGGGCAGCTTGCCAGAGGATTTAAAATGCCACGTGGGGTTGGACCAGCGATATGGAAGCAAAGTCCAGAGTCTCTAGTTAAAGTTAAGTCAAATGGTCCCAGGAATCAGGCTTGATTGGTCAGCCCAGGTTGAGTGAAGAATCTAAGGTGTATTTCTGAGGGAAGATTTGCTCCTCTCTTTTGGACATCGTTCAGGCTTGGTCTGAGGAGGGCCCAGAGCCCTGGGTTTTCATTTGGCTTAGGCTCATAGACTTGGAGGTAGACAGGACCTCAGAATTTAGCTAATCCAACTCCTTCCCTTCAAGATGAGGAAACTAAAGGTCAGAGGTTACATGACTTGCCCAAGATCACACAGCAAAAAAGTCATGGGATTACAGAGCTGAAGTTGAAAGGATCCTCAGAAACAATTTAGTCCAAACCCCTCCTCTTCCAGATGAGGAAACTGAGACCTAGAGAGATTAAGTCATGTGCCCAAGGTCACATAGAGAGTAAGCTTCAGAGGTGGAATTAGAACCCAGATTCTCTGCCTCCAGAGCTAGGCGGTTTTTCCCACTGGACTTCTTCCTTAGCTCTGAAATTCCCTCTATCTATTTTCAGAAGTCAGCACCTTAAAGGATCTCTTTGGCCTCGCTAGCACCGGTATGTCTCTTCCTTTTCTTTTTTCTTAATGAAATGTGTAAGGGACTGGGGTGGGCACGTGAGGAAAGCGAGATATTGGGTGTCAGGGAGCAGCTTTAGACTTTTTTGGATTCATTCAAGCCCTCTTTTATTTCTAGAACATGACTTGTCCATGGCAAAGTACAGCCGGCTCCCGAAGAAAAAAGAGAATGAAAAGGTAAAAAAAAACCCAAACCTCTGTTGTTACTTCTTGTTTGCTTTGTTTTTTTTTTAATTTAATATAATAACTTCGAAATCTACTGATTCTGAGGCTGCTTTTTTCTGTTACCTCTATCCCTTTATGGCTGGGAATGTCTTGGAGGGAGGTGTAGAAGGATATGAAAGGGGGCTAGGAAGGGGTTTTTGATTAGTCTGTTCCACTTCTTCCTGTACGGAGACTTTGTTTTTATCATTTTTTACCCGTATTCCCCACTTATGCATCTGACACTTTCGTTTGGGGCTTGTAAATTTCAGGCTTGAGCCATAATTTAAAAAAAAAAAAGGTAGGAGGGAAGGCTGACCCCATGGTGCTTTGAACTCCAGATTTTTCTCTTTGATCTAGTTGGCATATTTCTCCAGATGCACACATTAGCCCCAGTGCTAACAGTAGCATTTTTTAAAATTCAGTTTTCTGTTTTATTATGAATTTAGCTATCATCCACAAATAAGTATTTTAATACATAAAAAAGAAAATGAAAGAAAATTGTATATTAAACCCTGAATTTCTGTTACATACAGCTTATCCTTTTTTTCTTAATTTAAAAAGGTAGCAACAATATTGCCCTGTTTATAGTGTTAACTATTTTTAATTAATTTTTTCTAGTAATAAGCATTTTTTCTCCTTCCTACCTCCCCCCCCCAAAAAAGTACAACAAAACCCTTGTAAAATAGATATAGTTAAGAAAAATAAATTCCCATGTTAGCCATGTCCCAAAATGTATATTTTATTCTGTATCTTAAGTCCATCACCTGTCAAGAGGTGGTCAGTAGCTTATTAGTATTAATATACAAATTATTATTATAGCTTACATTTACATAGCACTTATTATGTGCCAGGCACTTTGCCAAATGCTTTACAATTACTATCTTATTTGATCCTCACAACAACCCTGGAAGGTAGTTGCTATTACTATCTCCATTTTACAAATGAAAAAACTGAAGAAAACAGGTTAAATGACTTGCCCAGGGTCACACAGCTAGTAGATGTCTGAGGTCAGATTTGAACTCAGGTCTTACTGACTCCACGCCCAGCACTCTGTCCACTCTAGTGCCACGTCCTGCCTTTTGGTTCTCTGGAATTGTGGTTGATCATTGTGTTGATCAGTGCTGTCTTTGAAAGTCATTTCTCTTGACAATGTTGTTGCAACTCTACCAATTATTCTCCTGGCTCTGTTCATTTCCCCCTATAATAGCTCAGAAAAGCCTTCCCAAGTTTCTCTGAAGCTGTTCCTTCTGTCATTTCTTACAATGCACAACAATATTCCATCACATTCATATACCAAAATCTGTTCAGCCATTCAACAATTGATGGGGAGCCTTACCTTCGAGTTCTTTACCACTCCAAAATGAGCTGCTAGAAAGATTTTTGTACTTATATAGTCTTTTATTCTATCTTTGATCTTTTTGGGGACCAAGGCCTATCTAGTATGGGCATCCTGAGTCAAAGAATAATCACAGTTTAGTCAATTTGGGGGAACAGCTCCAAATTCCTTTCCAAGATGGCTAGACCAATTCATAGCCCCACCAACCATGCATCAACATGCCTGTTTTCCCACAGCCCCTCCAACATTTGTCATTTCCCTTTAATGTAAACTTTACCAATTAAATGGGTATAAGGTGGTACCTCGAATTGCTTTAATTTGCAACTCCCTGATTATTAGTGATTTGGAGAATTTTTTTTTAAATATGGCTATAGATAGCTTGGATTTCTCCCCTTGAGTACTACTTATGGCTGTTTTTGACCCTTGCTCACTTCTTGAACCAAATCAGAGCCTTTAAGCAGGCTGCATCCGTATTTAGAAACCAACAGAAGATAGAGCAAGAAGGGCCTTGGGCTGTCTCATCCATCCCTCTGTTTCCAGAGAGGACTCTGCTCAGCTTATTCCAGTGTGATCTTTAAAAAAAACTTTCGAGAAACTCTTCAGCTTCCCCTCTTAACGTATTCCAGGGCTTCAGGACAGCAAGAGCCAGGGAAGTTTGCCAATATCAGATTGAAATTCCCATAGCTGAGGCCCAGGCTTTTTATTCTGCTAAAACTAGGGGGAGAAAGCTGCTATTACTCACACCAGTCCCTTCCTGTATTTTTGAATCATTTCTACTTTCTCTTTCCTCCTTTTTTTTCCTCGGGGTGGAATAAATCCAATCCGTGAGCCTTTCTCATAGGGCCAGTTACCTGCTCTCCCTCCACTGGCATGTGAGCAGGGATTAGATTTGTTCTATTTGGCCTCAGAGGGCAGAACCTAAAGCAACGAGGGGAGATTACAGAAAGACCGAGTTTGGCTCTGAGTCACTTAGAGCCGTCCCAAAGTGGTACAGGCTGATATGACTGGCCATAAATTCCCCATCCCTGGAGGTCTTCCAGTGAAGACTAGGTGACCACCTTTCAGGGAGATATTGGAATGGCAACTCTGTTTCTACAGGGCTCAGACCAAATGACCCCTAAAGTCCCTTCCAGCTCTGAGACTCTGGGATGCTTTAGGGGCAGTTAGGTGGCACAGTGGACAGAGCACCAGCCCTGGAGTCAGAAGGACCTGAGTTCAAATCCGGCCTTAGACACATAACACTTACTAGCTGTGTGACCCTGGGCAAGTCACTTAACCCTATTGCCTAGCCAAAAAAAAAAAAGATAAACTGGGCACCATTTGTGGAGTGTCAAAAAACCAGGATCACAAATGATCCTATTGCTTCCCTCATACCAATCAATCAATAAGCACTTATTAAGCACCTGCTAGGTACTAAATACTGTGCTAGAGATGAAAAGTCCACAAGGGAACAGCCCCTGTCCTCAAGGAGGTTACCTTCTATCACGGCTTACATTCAACCAGGAGCAACAACATGACCGCGAGCTTGATTATTATTTCATCATTTGATACCTATAATTTTCTAATAAGGTAAATACTTTTAATTAATAATTTTAATTAATCAATCTTTTTAAAGCTTTTTTAGTAAATCCATTTTGAGTCAATATTTCCGAGTCAAAATATTTGAGTCAAAATCCAGTTTTGCGTGCTACCTCTTAAGCTTTCCTGTCCCCTTCCACTAGGTGAAGTCCGAGGTGGCAAAAGAGGTGGCCGCAGCCCGAAGGAAGCAGCATCTGTCGTCCCTCCAGTACTATTGTGCCCTGAATGCTCTTCAGTACAGGAAGAGGATTGCAATGATGGAGCCCATGTTAGGATATGCCCAAGGACAGGTACGGAGTGGGTGATGAAATTGGAGAGAGTGAACCTCAAAGGAGACATTGATAAGTGGTATCAGTAAAGAGAGAGGTTGAAAGTGTGGGATTTGGGTGGGGAGCAAGAAAGATTCCAACTCCACCCCTGGAACCAATGAGCATCATTGGAGCATGTCCGGGGTGGGGGTGGGGGGGTGACAGGCATTTCAGCTGGTACTTAAAAGGATGACCTAGGATGCAGTGTCATCTGGTGGAAAGCCAGGTCTGTGAGTGCCAGAAGATAGAAGGAGCCTAAGAAATGGGTCTAAAATGAAAAGAAGTTTTTTAAGTATAGAACAGGCATTCCAGAGGGCACAGTGGAAGGGATGGCTAGTCAGACATAGACTAGTTCAAGGAGGATGGCTTCTTCTTCAGTAGTTAGGGATTCAGGATTATCAGGATGAGAAGAGTGTGGGAACTGGCTGACCACTGAGGAATGAGTCTAGGCAGAGTATGAGTAATAAAAATAATAATAATAATATTAGCTAACATGTCTATGGCACCTACTATGTGCCAGGCATTGTGCTAAGCACTTTACAGACATTATCTCATTTGATCCTCACAACAATCCTGGGAGGTAGGTGCTGTTGTTATCCTCATTTTACACAGGAGGAAACTGAGGCAAACAGAGTTAAATGACTTGTCCAGGGTCATACAGCTAGTAAGTATCTGAGGCTGGATTTGAATTCAGGTCTTCCTGACTCTAGGCCCAACCCTTTACCCAACTGTACTACCTAGCTGCCCATCTATCACTGAGGAAGATAGGTGATTAGAAACTTCAAGATCTCAGCACAGCCCTTGACTGGATCCTGGTAGGGTCTTGATAGGAGGTCCGGAAACCTATTCCTCCAGTTAGTCAGGGTCTGGACGTACTGTGAGCTGTATGCTCCATATTTATGGTGAGTCAATAGTGCCCTCTGCAGAGACTAAGAGAGCCCATTATATTAACTTTATATATTACTCCCCATGTGCTAATGAACCAGGCAGGCACAACACTGTACTAATGGAATAATGAGTCCTCTTTATAGAATATAAGCTCTCTCTTTTAAATATTATGAGCACTCTTTTAATAATATAAATAATGTAAGTACTTTTTAAAAATTTTTACAGGTCTAAGATGATAGAAAACGAGAAGCATGGTGAAGGGATAATGCTGAATGATTCAATTATAGTGCTGTGCTCTTGAAAAGAATTCCTCCTTTGTTCAACCCCTTTTAATTAATGTTTATCAAGGATTGGTCTTTGTACCCGTGGTGCCAGGCGTAGAGCAGGCACCTAAATTCAACTGAGCTTCCCACATTGTTAGCCAATAAGAATGTGACCACTAGCTTGCTGGTAGCATTTGTCCTGCCTGTTAATACTGGAGCACAGACTTAGGGCCAGGAGGGACCTTAGAGGGCAACCCAATCATTTTAAAAATGGTAAAACTGAGACCCAGAGAGGGCAAGTAAAGTGACTCACCCAAGATCACACAGGTAATAAGCAATGTGTGAAAGGGGGTGAGATTCGAACCCCAGGCCCTCCAAATCCAACATTCTTCCTGCTATAACATACTGCCTCAACCTTAGCCACATTTAGTTTTGAATAGGTGCCAGTGACTCAGACCTCTCTCAAGCATCTGCTCTGTCTAAGAAGAGACATATTGGCTCTATTCCTGCCTTCTCTTGCTCTAACCAAACTGAATTTCCCTGTTGAGCTCCCCTGATGATGAAACTTCTACCTTGACTTTGTTGTTGAATGAATGCATGACCAAAGGACCAGCTGGGACTGAAGAATAAAGAATCCCAGAATTGGGATGGGTAGTTGGAAGAGCCCCCAGTGGCCATGTAGTCCAATCCATGCCTACCCAAAAGTCCCTGCTACACTAAACTAGACCCAATTAGTGACCATTCCACCTCTGTCTGTGAAGGGAAACCCCCCATCACCTGCTGTGGCCCCCGCCATTTTAAGTAGCTCTCATTGTTAGGAAAGCTTTCCTACACTCCAGCCCAAATCTGCCTCTCTGGAACTTCCATGTATTACTCATTCCGCCCTCTGAGGTCTACCTGAACAAGTATGATACATTTTCATGTGATATCCCTTCAAATACTTAAAGACAGCTAATGCCATAAGGCAGCTAGGTGATATAGTGAACTGACTTCTGGCCTTGGAGTCGGCGAGACCTGAGTTCCTGCCTCGGTCACTTTCTAGCTGGACAGGTCACTTAATCCCCTTCAGCCTCAGCTTCCTTAGCTGCAGAAAATGAGGATTCAAAGGCCTCTAAGGTTCTTTCAACCCTAAATCTATGATCCTGTGGTCTTCCCTTCTCCAGGCTAAGCATCCCCTGCCAATCTTCATATGGTAAAGACTCAGAGCCCTTCCACCATATTGATTTCTATACCCAATTCCTTCTGCCAGTCTTCATATGGGGGGGACTCAGAGCCCTTCCACCATATTGATTTCTATACCCAATTCCTTC